AACTCGTTTTTCAATTAGCACTTTAGTGACAGCCATTTGTGCAATAAACTGAAAAAATACCGGAACTTATTGATTGAGTTTGGGGATTGACTTAATACTCATTGAAAACGACTGCCTTGTATTCATTAATTAGGGAAGTGTTTTCCACGTTTCAAAATACAATTTATTTATCTTTTTGCAGTTCAGACTGTGCCACCAGTTAGTTAGAAAGCTAGCGGATTTTTTATTAGTCGGGCATTTAATAAACGATGTAAAATTGCCTGAAATTTGTTCTTTTGAGGTTTTTGAAAGTTATATCGCTGGGAACACATACTATTATCTTTATATTCTCGTGGCAGCTTTAAGTATAATGAAAGGCCATCATGGAAAGTTAAAAAAAATTATTTGTGTGAATTTCAAATTATCGTCCTAGTTATTCACAGTAAACCTAGCGAATAATACAATAATTAAAATGCAACAAAAAATACTCAGAGTGTTCAAATATGAGGAATGTTTGAATTGAAACAGTAATTAAAAATCGCTCTTAGGATTAGCCAAGCAAAGGTGAGCAAACATGTGTAATGGCAATTATGTAAATATCAAACGTGTAAATTTTTCGCAACTCCTATTTGAGTTTGGCCCTTTTTGGCATCACGGCGCTATATACCCATTATCTTAAATTAAGTTATAAAAAGTAAAACACCACAGCGAACTGCGTTTGGCATACAAAATGAAAACTTCCCCTTTTAAGCAATTATTTATTCTTAGATTTTAATTGGTTGTATAAACTTGTTTACTTTAATTGTATATTGTATGCGACAAAAACACTTTGCATAAAGTCGATGTTGTGATCTATCGCTCTTTGGAACGTACGGAAGAACATTGTAAGAACTAAGTTGTAAACTAGGCAACTTTGGCACTTCGATTGGGAGATTATCCTTCGTTTATATTAGGTAAATACAGTTGATATGTTGCTAACTTTCGGCGGAAAAGGTCTAAATATGCCACTATGTGTCCGAGATATAGGAGAACACCAAAAATCTAGAGCTGAACATAAGACTATTTATCGAAACAGAATAAAAATTATGGTGGAACATCAATTCAGTGTAAGTTTTGGAGCAAATCGAAAAAGTTGCCAGTTTCAAATTTTGCAACTCCAAAATGAACCAACTGATTTTTTTATATTTTATTTCCACTCCAAATCAGCCCAAATTGACCCCCAAACGGAACGATACCAAAATTCAACACCATGTGTACTACATTAAAAAAATTGCATAAATATATAAAATCATAGTTGGCTTCGAAAATCATAAACATTCTGAAACGTGTGCTTATTTTTCAAATTGTAACCGAAAATAAAGCGAACTATAAACGAATTAAAGCGTTTTTATTGCTCTATTTCTTATTAAAATTGGCAAAGCACTTGAGTGCATTTATTTTGCAGCGATGCAATAAATAAATCATATTTCATTGTATGTTTAAATGTGCAAATATTCAAACTAAACGTGCGGAATTCACACGACTCAACCGTATTTGGATATAGTGAGGTTGGATGCAAATATTTAGCAACGTTTAAAGTACACTTCAGTTCCACAAATTCCAAAGTCCAAATATTAATCCTAAGCTAAACATGAACTGTAATTCCCAATACCAAGTTGGGGTTCCAAAGCTAAATGATCGGACCCTAAGGGAGCCCGTTGGAACATTGGGATAATATCGATGCAATTTTCCTTGCTTCTTGTTTACACGACACTATTCCCAACATAATCTGTAAATTTGTGCGAACTTAGAAACAAGAAGGTCCTTGCAATTGAGCTCTGAAATTTACCCGAAATTTAAATTAGTTCGGAATGAAACCCTTATAAAACAAGACTGGTTAATTGGACAGTAGAACTATATTATAAGATCGGGGGACATTGACAAAGTTTATTTAGGTTATCTGTTCTGTTTGTTAGGTATCTGACTCTCTAGTCTGTATTTACCAGTTGTGATGAGTAGAGAAGGATTTATTATTAGGAAGCTGCAAATAAACCTTCCAAGTGATTCGTAGCAAACTATTATAATTGTTAAATGCCGTGTTTATAATCTAGGGCAATTGCGATCAAGACAATTCGTTGTTATTGATAGAGACACTTGATATGCATCTCAAAAGCTTTTGACGCAATTAACATTATTAGAATTGATTGTGGGGGCTGATCAAAATTTAGCATCTAGCAAAAAAAGGTCAAGTCACAATCTATGCCAGTACGCATATCAAAAACTGATTTTTTTTCCACAAATCACATTTTCTAATGAAGTCAAAGGCAAGGATAAAATAATAGCGTTATTGGCAACTGTATATGTTTTTGTCAGTGATGTCGGCAAATCTGACGTGGCCAACGTAGGAAATCCAAAAATTGTTTCGCTGGCAACATTTTACATCATACTAAAAACACAACTTTTAACCCAGCATTGAAATTTTAACAACAGAAAATTTGGCAATTTGGAAAATCGGCGTCGAGTTCGATGGAGAACTTTTATGGAATTCGATTTTATATTTCTGAAGAATCAATCATAGTTTCTTCACAATTTCTACTTGTAGTCTACTTGTAGCAAGTTATGAAAATCACAATGTGTTTCTCCGTTGCAAGTTTCGTTTCTAACATACATTCCTAATAGCTGCTTGCTTAACTCTGTGCATGGCATAAGACGTACGGAAATAATCTTAAAATCCGAYGCTCACCCWTSTAAACCAAAATACTARAGCYATWCAATTGGATTWAAAAAAATAGACTCTTTTTTTGATATAACCGCYCTATGWCAAAAAATTAATCAGTCAGGAAAATGCTGTCGTTTGCTCAAAAGAAATTACGAACCTTATAATAGAGGTGCCAGTTCTAAATTTTACCGCTCTAGTGCTCAGCTTCAAATATTTTTCATGTAATACCATGAACGAGTGATTTTATAGAATAGGATACAATACATCCCTACCTAGTATTCATAAGCTTAATTTGAATCGAAAATCTATTGAATATTTTCATTTACAGAATCAAATATTTCCAATGGATTATACTTATTGCTCAAAATGGAAAGCGGCAATCCCATAATTTTTACGTCTTTGACCACTAACGATAATATTTCAATCGATTATAAAATTCCCGTTTTCGAGCAAGAATTATCGTCCCGCTTCCCGTTTTTAATTCCTGATCTATTATCCGGAATCTGCCCGCAAAAATATATTCTTTATGCGACAGTAAGTGAAATAATAAAACATCCGCTCAAATTCTTCTTACTGCGTTAGGAATGGCGAAGAATAATGACTCTGTTACAAAAGAGCACTTTAAAAATTACATTACTCAAGTTTATTAAAAAAGCGCCCCGTATAACCAGGGGCAAGAAAAATTTTGTTCACGGATTTATAAAATCGTTTATGTGCTCTATAAATTACGTTACATTATTTTGTCGAGCATGAGATCTGGAGCGAATAAAAATGGGTTTTTAGGTCAGTGTTGCGGAGATGCTTTCAGATGCTTAATTTTTACTAACTTGCTATATTAAAAAATGCATTAACGGATAGCAGTTAAGAGCGACGTATTTCATTATAACCTTCTAAAAACACCGTGGAAATATTTCGGAAAACAAGAAAGTAAATTTATCTGTTCTAAAAAAAAATAGAAAATCTTTAGAAGTAAACCGGCAATATCTCCAAAGAATCAACGATCTGCATTGGAATTATGCAGAAGAATGACGATTCCATCAAAGTAGAATACTTCTCTATAGAGATCCTGTATAAACATTTTATCTGAAAATAAGATGAGCTCGGATAAAACGATGCTAGCTGGAATACGGAAGTTCTTTAATTACTAGTCAGGGTTGTTTACTGCTATTTGAAGTGTTCAATAAAATAATTACTGCTTACTGTTGACTGTCACATTATTTTGATCTCAGCAATATCAACATTCGTGATATTTGAGGTCAGCAATATGATTAAATAGAACACAATGAAGCTTGACTAACTTTATGGTTTTATGAAACAAGCAAGATCTAATACGTATTAATGACTAGATGTAAAACAAAAATAGTAATGGATGAGCAGATTAGGACAATCCTTATGCAGATGAGAAATTATCAATTGTACAAGTAAAAACGTATTTTTGAGATGAAGGAAAATCAGAAAAGTATCAGCATTCTATTTATCCTTATGCAGATGAGAAATTATCAATTGTACAAGTAAAAACGTATTTTTGAGATGAAGGAAAATCAGAAAAGTATCAGCATTCTATTGTGGAAAATTGGACTTAAGATTCGACGCCTCTTAACGATAAACACTCCACAAAGTAAAGCTTGTAATTTGTCAGCCATGACCAGAGGATCTACTGCAAAAACTGAAAAATTTGCTTTCATAAGAGCCAATCGAACTGTGCCATTTTTATTCTTAAAAAAACATCTAGCTGACCAAGCAATCTGAAGCAAGAAGAACCGAGGCCAAGAAATAAAACAAATACATTATTGGTTCAACGATGGTGCAATCCAAACCCAAAAGTTTTGATATGAAGAAAAGACAAAATACGAGAATCTAGTTATAAAATTGAGAAACCTAGATGAAAAATAAATTAATCAATGCTGAAATAAATTAAAGTGAAGTGTGTGGGACAATGATGAAAACGTCACTTTAATTTTCCGATTGGGATGCAAAAAAAGGAAAACGAAATTTTTGAAATAAGTTTAAGTACCGTATTAAATATCATAATTTAACTATTTATGAAAGCCGGTTGTCTTTATTTCTTCATAACCTTTATGTATTTGACATTTTTTTCTCAATTAATTTTTTGAATATAAACCAGAAGTGTTTGTGTGTTAAATCACGCAGGACGAATGCAAAGGTTGACAAAAGTTGTTTATAAAATAGCTTGAATTAGTTGTTTAAAATTTGGCACATTTCGGTGCTCTATAAGAGGAATGGTTTAAGATAGTCAATGTCGCGTTTAGCTATTTCATTGTATTCCTTAAATGTCCTCAATAATGTTTTCAATTTGTTGCAGATATAACATTGGAAGGTGCCAACAGTGACAAGAATTCCTTACCTCCTGACGAATCTAGTCTCAAAGATTCTTATCTCGAGAACAGTATTAAAATTAGTAAACTTCCTGCTCATTTAGACATATTGCCACCGCCACCCTCAAATGCTAGTAGTCCGAGGAAATCACCACTGGTAAGTATAAAATGAAAAGGAACAATTTTGAAAACTTTCACATAGGTACTAGTTGAACCAAATGTATTCATAAAAAATAGAACAATGTTTTCCAGTAAGTTAAAATACGAAATTCAGGATGTAGTAAAAGCACGGAATCCTAGTAAATAAAAAGTTTAGTTGTGCAAATTGAAAGGAAAGCGTCCAGAACAATATAAGACAAAACAAGTAAATGAAATTGCTAGCTTAATAGTCAGTGTTAGTATTTTCAAGTTAGCATGCATTCTATGTTGTAATATATATTAAACATCCACATATTAAAAAGGCCCAGATCGAAATAGCAGATACTGTGCAATTAAGGATATAATTTTTTTTAATTTCAGCTCAGAATACATTAATCTGCAATAGATCTGTATCTATTTTAGATGAGAATTAAAAACTTTGCTTTCCAATAAAACACCAATTAAAACCCAATCCCATCCAGGAATAACATCACGAATTAAACGCGCGCTGCATTTCCACTTTATATTCCTTTTTTCATTAGGAACTAGATTGATAGGTTGTTTTTAGAATTTGCCGCAGGCAACGGTCCAATCAAAATTGATTGATTTCGACAGGAATATCATTTTAATATCTTTCTACTATTTTATTTGTTTGCCGATTTAATGATTCATTTATATTGGCCTTATGCTTGGACATCCGCCAATGAGTCGGTCGTTAATTTCGTAGGGCGGTTTCGGAACGTTTTCAATTTCTGCACCGCAGGAATAACCGAATATCATCAGTGGTGGCCAAAGATCGCTAATAAAAAACGAAAATATGGTTGAATTATCTATGTTGTATCCTTATTCGACTGCAACCAGCCACCCTCTACCCCGAGTCGAAGTCGAATTAACCTTCGATTGACAAAATCACATTGATAAGGAAAAATGTTGGCATCCACTTTACAGCAAAAATTTAAGTCGATTTTGTCGATATTAGAGATATTTAAAATTTCCATCTGAAAAAGAAACAATCGCTTGAAATCTCTTAAATTGATGTCGTTGTTTCCTTTTCTGCTTGTTGGGTATTTCGCAACAAAAATTGTTGTCTATAAAAGACAGAATTTGCTCACGTCTTTTATTACAGATTGATAAATAGTGCTCATATTTCGCAATAAGAACGAATTATTTATCAAAAAGTAATCAATAATCCGCCTCAACAATATAGAACTTATATAAAGATTAACTAAGAAAAAATCAAATGAAAAAGTGAAATTGTTCGAACAGAGAGAAACACATCCTTAAGTGTTCAGATAATTTTGACGTAAATCTAATCCATTCATTTTTGTTGTGGCAAGAAAGTGATTTATACCACTTGGAATTGCAAATTTTCCTTTTTGCGCGACATGCACACTTTCTTTTTACATCTCTGCTTTAAGTGACAACGTTATCTTCCAACCGTTTTTTTTCTAAATTCTACTACCAGCAACTCCTCAAGGCAGGAAAAATGTTTGTAGTTTTTTACGTCGGATCTGTTATACTATTCAATATTGATTTTGTACCCATTTTGTTGCAGTTATTGACGATTGAAATAGAAATAAAAATCAATGTTAGCCACAGAGCGATTTCAAACTAATGCATTTGAGGAACTGAGCAAATTAAGTATTGAAAGAAGAATTGTTCTTCGACATTCAAAACTTTCTGTGGATGCTTTAATGCACACACTATGAAATACATAACGAACAGGCTTATTCATTATTATTCAATTGATTCGTTGAACATTATTGTAAAGAATATTTTAATTTACATTCAGAAATGTTGTTCGGTTTTTGAAAGTTTGGTCTACTGGATTTTTTCCTGGCATTTCCTGCACAATGCCTTTGAAAATCCTCACCAGGGGCGGATCCAGCTTTAAAGTCAGGGGGGGTTATGTAGAAAAAATCGTCGTTTTGTGCAAGGGTGGCGCAAGATTATTGCAAAATTTCATGTTTTCCGTCCCGTTTTTGCCCATATCTCGGAGGCAAAATGAGCAAGAACTCTCATTTGTACATCATTCTAGAGAGAAATAAATGGCCTTTTTAGAAAGTGAACCATGGATAAGAAAATGTTGGCAGTTTTCTCAAAAAATGCTTGAATTCAAGAAGTTTTAGATTTGCGTGGTTTTTTTTTTGAGTTGCAAAATCCACTTGAAGATGACGCTGCTTTTTTAGAAGTTTTTCAAGAACCATTCGAGCCACAAAATTCGTTTTGGCATCGTTGGATAGAGAATTGAAAATTCGATTCAGTCGTAACAACGTGAGTGAGGAAATTCGATTAGTTTTGACCCTGAAAGCGAAATTTGAATATTAGACACTTAGGTGCAAGATTATGCCAAAATTTCATGTTTGCTGTCCCGTTTTTGCTCATTTCTCCGAGGCAAAATGAGCAAGAACGCTCATTTGTACATCATTCTAGACAGACATAAATGGCCTTTTTAGAAAGTGAACCATGGATAAGAAAATGTTGGCATTTTTCTCAAAAAATGCTTGAATTCAAGAAGTTTTAGATTTGCGTGGTTTTTTTTTGAGTTGCAAAATCCACTTGAAGATGACGCTGCTTTTTTCGAAGTTTTTCAAGAACCATTCGAGCCACAGAATTCGTTTTGGCATCGTTGGATAGAGAATTGAAAAGTCGATTTAGTCGTAACAACGCGAGTGAGGAAATTCGAGTAGTTTTGAGCCAGAAAGCGAAATTTGAATATCAGACACATAGGTGCAAGATGATGCCAAAATCCCATGTTTTCCGTCCCGTTTTTGCTCATTTCTCGGAGGCAAAATGAGCAAGAACGCTCATTTGTACATCATTCTAGACAGAAATATATGGCCTTTTCAGAAAATGAACCATGGATGGGGAAATGTTGGCAGTTTTCTCAAAAGATGATTGAATTCAAGAAGTTTTAGATTTGCGTGGTTTTCTTTGAGTTGGAAAATCCACTTGAAGATGACGCTGCTTTTTTCGAAGTTCGAGCCAGAGAATTCGTCTTTGGATAGAGAATTGAATGGGGGGGGGGTCATGACCCGCATGACCCCCCCCTGGATCCGCCCTTGATGGTCACTGCAGATGTTGACAAAACATTAGGAAGAAGTTTCAATATTCCAATCACGCAATTCAATCTAAACTTTCCTACTGAACCACAATAAACACTTATAAAGACGGACTCTAATTTTGAATCACCGAATAGACTACAACTTGGCTGTTTTTTGCTGCATTCGGCTGGTGATGGGGCTTATTAGGGATGCTTCCAGCGAAGGAAGCAATCATTTTGTTATCCTACCTATATCGAAAGAAGTTCGCTCTTCGGCATAACTACTGAACTAATTTACTTCTAGCACATGTCTTGTCAGATACGTGCTCTTGCAGATGTAATTAGGTTCACTTTATTCCCACTTGTCGGTTTTGGCGATTGTAAGTCTTGAACCCAATGTAAATGCCAGTAATGGCACACATGTTGCAGATTTTCCCTAACAAATACGCGAATACTATTGTCTAGAAGCGATTGTGTGAAGTACCCCTTGTTCACACTCAGCAAATCCTTACCGTTCTTGTTAACTGATAATTAATATCGACAGTTTGAATAGTTGAAAATCCTACGTACCCCACTCAAAATGCAATTAAGCTACAGTATTCGTGGTTTAGCAGCTATGCGAAAGTTTTCCGTCCAGCTGTCATACAAAAAGCAGATTAAAGCCGGATTGTAATTTATACGAGACAGTTTGTAATTTCGATGACAAAACTAGAGATAGATAGTTTCCAGAGCAACTACAGGATTTGTCTATTGCAAAACCGGAAAGATCTCACGATCCCTGAATTCGTTCAGCATTTGGATTCGACCGTATCAGCACTGTGGAGCTCATCGGTTTTCATCTATTTTGCCTTTTAAATTCGAAGCTTGCAGTGCTTTGAAATAACGAAATTGAACGTACAGGAATAGTGCATCAATATTCTGTGTGAATATTTTTCGTTTTTATTATTTATTTTATCTTTACTTTGCAACTATTCGAACCAAACTAGCACATGAATTCCTTTCTAAAATATTCTTAGGGTTTGGTTTAGCTGTTTGTTATGCGGTTTTGCGATTCAAACTTTATAATAGCCCCAAACGCTTGTACTTGTAACTTGTAATATGAATAAATAATGAAAGTTTAATATATTTATTTCAAATGCAAGAGCTAGCTTCTTAACCTGTGCTACTTTAGTAATCCGAATTTAAAACAGGAGGATTTCCTATCAAATTCGCTTTAACGAGATTTAGATAAACTTTAAATGATGTCTTGAACCGCTGTTGTGCTTCCGCGTTCTTTAATTCTGAAAACATCAATTTTCAGTCGCACCAATTTATTTGTGAATGTATTAAGAATTATTATTTTATTTCAGCAAGCTGAAACTTATGCATCCCCTAACAGTGACGGTTTCGGATCAAATTCGAATTCTACCACCGCCAATCTTTCACTACCACCTCCAGGTGGTGCTTTATCTGCTCATCATGAAATTCAGCTTCTACGCGAGCAGCTGGAGCAACAGCGACAGCAGACTCAAGCTTCTGTGGCTCAGCTGCAACTGGCCAGGGAACAGATGCAGGCAGAACAGGTTTGATAACATGTTTAGCTACTGTGAAATGTTGGTTCGGGGTGCGTGCGAAAGATTTTTGCAAAATGAATCACCGATATGAATTGAATGCCAATGAAGCCAATAAAAATCAATGAGTGAATTTAAAAGATATCATCAACACAAAAAAAGTAATCTTTTCAAATAAAAATAAAATACTTTGCATTTTACACCAATTTCGTAGATAATTTTCCTTTGGTAATGCTGTTTCTTAATATATTGGTGGAACAATTCGTTTTGTAGATTGCAATGAATTTGATACGATTGTGTGCAGAATTAGTGTTCGGATGTTCGGATGTTAATTTCCCTCAACAAGGTCGAAATCTCTTAAAACTATTGCTTCAATTTTGGAGAAACGTTCCTGCCTGCTCTTTAACTCTCGACCAGAATACAATTTCTAAGGAAATTAGTTTACAACTTTTCCCTGGATGAAACAAGTCAAAACATCTAAGTGGAAAATCACATTTTCCTAATTCAAAGCTGAATATATGTTGGATTATCGATCATAATAACAACTAAAATCGTCAACTATCAATACCGCTTATTGATTCTTTATCAATCGAATCATGAAACGGCAAACAAATAAGTTAAAGAAAATTCTTACAAAAATGTTTCCTACCTTTTAGACTGCAAGGATGGAAGCTCAAGCTCGAACCCATCAACTGTTGGTGCATAACCGGGAGCTTCTGGACCACATTGCAGCTCTGGTCGCCCATCTTCAAGGAGGTGACAAGCCCGAACAGCAGTCTAGTCCTCCTCATATGACTATGCCTCAGGTATGTCTTGAATATCTGAAAATTTCAAATAAATGTTTTGATGATGTTCGCATGTTGTGTTTTTTGTCAAATTGTTCCATCTTGTTGTGCAAATAGCTATAATTACTGTTCCGCATAATCAGTTTTGACGATTAATACCCGATTAATTAAGATAATTCCGTTCGAAGCAAAACGGAAAATTAGATTGACTGGAAGTCGATTGTTTTTCGATGAAAACGTATGTTAAGGATCGGAATTATAATTGCATCTGCATTGATGGATAAATAAATTAGGCTCAATATTCGCGATAAATTCAAGCTTGACATCCTATTAAACGTGGAACATCTGCGTGCCCCGTTAAGACGTCCATCGGAGTTCCGCATTGACATGTCAGAACGTGCTTATTGGACTGTGGAGCATTTTAGAACTCCATGCACTTGGCTTATGTGGATAGTTCAATAATGAATGTAGCATAGTTTCAATAGTGAAGACTAATTATAATATATATAGAGTTTGGGATTATTTGCGCTTAGGATATTTTGGTTTCTTACGCAACCAAGGCTAAGTGGTACCAGTTTAACGGAAAAGTACGTGAAATGCACTCGCATGATATATATAAGCACAAAGATGATATACCTATTAGTGCACTTAATATGCTTTTTAATGGCGACGAACCATTCACGTCAATAATTTCTTGGAGTCTTCGATAAACTGCATATTTTACTCGTAACATCTACAATTATTTATGAACCATATTCAGTTACGATATTCTCCAAGCACGTTTCGTTTTATCTTCGGATTTTCAATATTTAAAATAGCCACAAGTTCTCTACAGAATTCACGTCGGAGTATTGAAATCGTATAGCTAAAAAGTCAATTTTGCTTCTCGGGAATATTCGAGGTAAAGTTTGACATTTAAATTCAATAATGGAAACTAACGAAGTGCTCATTTTTTTGAAAATAAAAGTTTCTCTGGCTGTTTCATTTCAAACTTCCTTAATGAAGGTCTGAAGAAATTTTTTTTAAAACTACCATTATTTACCATATTTATTTAGATACATTATTATTTTATTATTTATAGACTTGAATTGTAAAAATTACATTCATTAACATTGAATTTGAACCCGTGGTAGTTTGGAAGTTCAATTAAAAGCAAGGGTGAGTACGCTTAACTGTAGAGTCTTGGATCTTTTTTCTGACATTCTAGTAAACATGGTTGAAAAATCAGAAAAACTTTCTGATCTAAAAAGGAACATATTTGATGTTCGAATCGAATGTCTGACTTTGATTGGACAAGTTTGATCTTCAACCCAGCAACTTTCTTCAGAAGTTGAGTTGGTTGAGAAGAACCTTGTTTACAAATTTTACAGGCATACGGGACTATACGAAGCAAATTTTGTTTTCGAATTCGAAATTTCTTGAATTCAGTCGTTCGTATTTCATTGTAATTAAAATACAAGATTTCACACAATTTTGCAAAGTGATTTTGGGACAACAGATATTTTATAAAATATTTTATAGTTACTTCAGCCCAGTAGTCCGGGCTGAAATTATTACTTCTGGGCGGAATTTATTTGGGTGCAAAGGTAGGAACCATTCTTTTCTATTTGTTCGTCATTCAAGCGTCGTCAAAATTCAGTTGCTACTAAATCAAGTTCTAATATTTCCGCCAGCTATAAGTTTTTTGTTTCAATGAGACTTCTTTTCTAGCAAAGAATGTCAAGGTTTCACTTTTTGGGATCATCAAGTTTCTTTCCAGAAGTAGAAGTGGTTGGTTCTGAATTAGGAGCGAGTAAATCTGGTCTTGGAATGTCTTCGGAATTAAAAATGGGATGTTCGAGAAGTTTAAATCTTCAGCGAATTAAATTTCTGAAATATCATTTATATATTCAGTGGTGACTGCTAAGAACTCGCCTTCACTTCCTAGTGGTATATTAGTCATTTTGAAAAGTACTTTATCAATAAAAAATGATAGTTTTCTTTCAGATTTCTTTCACATATGATTCATTTTCCGAAGAATGACTTAAAAATCAAACTTTTATTCCATGTTTTAATGCATGATGTTTCAAATTTGGGACACATTCAAAAATCTTGTAAATAACCTAAGCTGGTACAAGACCTAAAAATGCATTCAGGCATTCTTCACCTGAGGGTTGAATACGATAATAACAAACAGGCTTAACAGAATACATTGATCATTTTATTCGTTCAATAGGTTCATTGTTTCGTGTAAAAAGATCATATGATTTAAATAAATGCCTTTAGATTTTGTTAATTCCTTGAAGTGGAATAAAACGTATATCACATATTACACTGTATCACTTTTAGATAACAACACAGTAAAGATAATTTGAGGCAAATAATCCACAATATTACGCCAGTGACAATGTTCTACATGCATACGACCTACATTATGTTTAAGTTTTTTTGCAAAAGTGCATCGGTTACCTCAATTCATTCACATTGTGTTTTGCACCATTTTTATTACTTGTGCTTCCATTTTATTTGAGCTTGCTTTATAACCCGAGTGATCGCCCGATATAATCGGTATTCTTGGCCATTTTGCAGCTCTAACAACAGCTTTCCGCGAGTGTTTGCCTTTTATGTGCAGGTCTATTTGGACGCTTCGGATAATAACAATTTGGTTTTGATCCGCAAAAAATAGGTAAATATTAACACGCTTCTGTGGCATCCACTTCGCTGTTGGGTTTAATGGACTATTTTTGTTTTATTTTTAGCAACCTCAAGATAATCAGCCCGACCAAATTCCTCAACTAGATCCAAATTTAGTGATGCAAGCCTTGGGGCTGGCAGCTCCCGGAGTATTTGAGAATAGAACAGCTACAACAGCACAGTCACCTTTAAGAACCACATTCAATCCCGGAGGTGGTGGAATGTTTAACTTTAACTATCCTCCAAATGCCATCGATGCTAGTTTTGAAAATCAGTTGCTTCAAAGGTTGCAAGCTTTAGGGGCGTATCAACCGGTAGCTCCTCAGTATCAGTATGGTTACCCGCAAGCTATGCCCTTCATGAATCAGGGCATGTATAATCCGGCATTGATGAATAACAATTTTGGCGTGCCCTACGCGACTTTGTCCAGAGGTTTAGGAAATATTGAGAACAGACTGAATTCGTCCAGACACAGTGAGCCAAGGCAAATTCCGTCAATGTTCCAGACATATGGGGCTGCAGAATCCGGGCAAAAAGATAGCCAGGATCAGTACGCAAAATTCAGCCAACAAAGTCCGGATGCGCAATACGCACAGGGAAATTTTACACCTGTGAAAAGTCCCAGTGGAGTTCAACTATCAGTTCCAACCCTTCAACGCAGACACTCTACATTGAACCTAGCGCAAGACTGTTCAGCTACGGGTAATGCACGCCTTCAAATTGGATCTCAGCGACAATCTACCTCCAGTCCTCAACATACAGAATCTGCTGAACCTAGTAATGTTCACTTCATCAAGCCTTTGTCTCAAGTGGGGACATTAACGACAACTGATGCAGAAGGGCGCGTGAGGGTTATTGTTCCAGTTCCTTCCAATTCTGAGGACACAGACCGACTGTCGAATCTGAGAATCAGTGACGAACTGAGACTGATGAACGGACCGGGAATATCTAGATCAGCTAGCGAGAGAGTGCCCAATAGAAGTGAGCTTTTATCACAAGTTCAAAGAACAATGTGGGCTAGGCATACGACTAAATAAACTTGCTCGAACTGGCAATCATCACGACGTTTTTCTTACTGTTACCATAACGGGGTGATTTAAATTTGGTGATATTCCTCTGGAAGTGTCACCCAGGGCTATTTAGCAAGTGGGTACGGAAAAAATGCAAAAAATATATTTCTCACAAAAAAGTTAAAAAGAAGCTAAAAAATAAAAAGTGCGTTACTCACTACAGTTGAGAAGTTTGAGATGTTTGAAAATTTATCGGGGGTAATTGCACAAGTGCTTCAAAATTACCGATAATTTTGCATGAAAGCTTGTTGTCTAAAAACTGCATGAATTTATTTTCATATTGTGGCGAAAAAGCCCGACTCCGAAGGAGGAGGGCTTTTTCGTTCCAATGTGAAAATAAACTCATGCAGTTTTTACAAGACAACAAGCTCGAATGCAAAATTATCTGTTTATTTTGATGCACGAGTGTAATTTTTATGAATATTTCCTGAGTAAACAAAGTTAATGTGGATTCATTTTATTTCTATTATATTTTATTACACTTTTAATTTTATTACTTATGTGTTTTAAATATAATTTGAATATCT